CCGCAGAGAATCGCCGTCAGTCTGCGTTTACGTCCGGCCGTTTTGAGACTGTTGAAGAATCAGCCATCTGAGGCTTATCATGGCTCCGGCGCTAACACGGCGAGGAGGCTCTGAGCTGAGACCTGAGATATGCGTGCCGCTGAGGCTATTCCTAGCGGAGCTGTCGGTGTGTTGATGACTTCATCTGCATCAGGGGCCTGCATTAATAGAACCCAGTGCGGCATTGGCAGCCGAATTGGAACGGGCCAGTGTGTTTGATAATCAAACCGATCTCTGTATAATTCCCCACAGATGGCGTTTGTGCCGATTTGTTTCGCTCGTCGTCGTCGACAGCTCAGAGATGTACGACCTCACCGGATTAAACCGTGGTCGACCGCGGAGAAACGCTGCGCCCGGCCTGTAAAAACACGGCCACTAAATTATCGGGGAACGGCTGCGATCGTGACGTCACTCTGGGTGCCCCCAAATCGGAGGAATGTGTGGATTCTCACGCGCCGTCACTGCACCTGTCGGCGGTGGCGAGGTCGGACTGGGCCGATGATATCTCTGCGTCGAGTGATGTGCAGCGAGCCGTGCTAATTCGGGAGCCGGGCGATTTCGGTCAGTGCTAACATCGAGCCTCCGATATTTGCGAGATATCGATGGCGCCGACTGCAGTGGTAGGCGCAGGAGTGCCATCAATAACAGTAGCCATTACCATGGACAACTGTGAACTTCACCTGACCTATTATTCCATTTGAGTTTAGTTGTTTCTGTGTACGTTTGCTATTCGAGCAATTTCATTTTTATGATCTATGCGTATGCAATATGCATACACTTCGCGAACGGTATTGCGGGCTGATGAGAGAGCAGAACAAGGGTGGATAGGAATTTCGGGGCAGCATTTCCCGGACCAATATAATAAAAATCAACAGCCACTTAAAGGGACTATCCCACCTTTAACATGGGGTTTGAGTTGAGATAGCCAAGTTTGCGGCGAGGTTCAGAAACCACTATCTATCTAGGTTGCAACCCCCGCGGCCTCTTGGTGTTGAAGAAATTCGTTCCCTTCATTTGAAAATGGGCCTTGTACAAGGCCCTATCTTTAACATGGAGCGACCGTTAGTGTGACGTCACCTCGTTTAGTCATTCTGATTTAAATGGGTTTGTTCGTTGAAAAATCGCTTAAAACTTGGTCTGAACTTTGTTGTGGTGCCTACAGAGTAAAAAGAATCAGCTTTATGACAGTAATGTGACCTGGGGAAGGAGGTAATTTTGGGCTGTGACGTCACATATTTGAAAGTTTGTGTTTGGAATATGGGAAGCCTAAGATGTTTAATGAAAAATAAATGCCAGAACCGTGTTACTGGTCATCCAATCTATAAAGTCGGGCACAATTTAACTGGTTTTAACAACATTTTAGAAGGTGGGATAGTCCCTTTAATAACAATAGCTGGCTTCGGCCTTCTGCAAAACAAAGAATTGGAAGCGGAAGTCAAGCGATCCATCGTCGTTTCAAGCTCGTTCTGTTCACGTCTCATTAAACAAATTATTGCGGTGTCCATGCTTCCAGACGTATAAGACGTATAGGGACATCTGCAGCTGGACGATGATATATCCAGTCCGATCCCTCTCAATTTGAAAGAGATATCTCTAGCGAGCTGAACCGATGCTCTGTATGATGATAAAAGCCTGTTTTCGGCTGCAATAATGATGATCTGCGTTGCTGATCGGCTCGCAGATCTGTCCAGATTTGCTCTCTAAAGTTCAGTGTTTTCTAACGTCGGAGGCTGCTGTTTCTTTGCTAGCACTGAAATCTGTCAGGCAGTCTGAGCTGTACCGATGTAATGCACGTATGTTTACGTGCGCCATGTTCCGATGCATGGGCATTTTATGATAAAATGATCTAGGAATGTTTATAAAACATGCATGTTTATGGGAAAGATACATTACCTTACCGACATTAAGCAGGACCCAAGTTGATCAAATTGGTGAATGGCTCTTCAAAGCGTTTGTACATAATTGCAAGTAAACTTTTGGTTGCTTCGGATGCGTAATGCGATAAACCTATCTTGGAAAGATATTTTCTGAATATCCATTTGCATAGCTTGCAGTAACATTCAGACCAGCCAGAATCACGCACTCGTAAATAATCGAAAAATACGAACAGTGCATGCCACCCGTAGCGATGTCGTACATGTTTAATTTACGAATACCCATGCTACATGAATAAACAGACAACTGAGCATGGTATTAGTATCATGTCTTCTTCATGTTAACCACAAGGGTGACCCGATCAAAAATGCAATGATACTTGTTATGGGACGCATTTCCCCGTTACATCGCATGTCAATGTAGAATATCGCATGTCACTATAGAATGATTATCGCTAAAGCACTAACCTTATTCACGGATATTGACAATTGGATATTCAGTCTATACCCATAACGCCATCTGATACGTAACATTCGTGGTAGAGGGCGCCCATAATGGTAACATTAGCCGCCCTATCGTGGGACCTTTCCACTGATTCCGGTCCACCAGCCTCCCGTCCTGCTCTCTGTATCAGAAACACAATTAGCCTCGTCGGAGAGGCGTCCGTGGTAAATGAAATAGGAGCGGCGCGGCCGGCATGCGCGGTACCCATTAGGCCCAGCCCGCTTGTTAGTTTGGTTCCATGTATCTCCATCTAGAGCGAGTGCCACAGAAAAGTGCTAAATGAAAATGAGATTGTCTGGGAATTATTACGAAAATAATATTTCAGGTATTTGAACGTTGAGCTGAGCATTGTTAATAAGATTATTAGAAGGATGAATAACCTGTTGCTCATTTCTATCAGAAATAGAAAAAATAAACCAATATATATTCGGGCGTGGCCCTTCTTCAGTGGTACCACTGAAGAAGGGCCACGCCCGAATATATATTGGTTTATTTTTTCTATTTCTGATAGAAATGAGCAACAGGTTATTCATCCTTCTAATGAAAATAATATTGTGAACGAATGGTAGTGTGGCGCCGCGAAGGGTATTGCAGCTATTTCGGCAGCGCTAACCGTGCAGTGTTCCATGTGGAAGGTTTGCAGGCATTTTCATTTTGTCTTCCGAATAACGACTGCCGTGTGAAATGAATTGTTAAGCGGTTTCACCCCGATGAACTTCATAGGACGTCTGATGTACTCAATTACCCGACAGCGAGCCCTGAATAATTCAACCCCCTCCATCCAGGTTCTTAATCTCTTCCTTGCTGAATCTCGCGTTTGTCTAATTATCCGGGCATTTCCACGGAAAGCTCTCGGTTGATTCCCCATTTAACTCACTGCAACTGAGCACCGGTAGCTCGCCGCTTTCGCCTCTGTCGCTGACGTGGCAACTGTGGCGCAGATGTGCCGTTTGTGTCGAGAGCTCTCTGCCAGCTAAATTGCCACTCGTGCCACGAACGCTGGGACTGCAGCGGTCGAGCCGACTCGACTGTATAACGGTCCTGGTCGGGGTGTGGGCCTGCAGACACTCCCTTCGTCAGGCCTAACTGCTGTGACGTGTGATTAGCTAACTGTTTCAAGCCCGGACTGTTGGTACGGTTAATGCATCTCTGTTCGAGCAAGAGCAGAGGACAGATGCAATTGCAGTCCCTGGACTGTCAGTTGGAAACGGGCAATACAATACCTAATATCTGAAGATCTGTCACATGACAGACGGAAAGGGATCGAATCACCGAGTTGGTTCTGCTTACTTTAAACCGAATGCTCAACTTTCTTCGTATAACGCAAATTCATGAAAGCTGCAGTATATGTTATAGCCATTGAGCTGTTCAGTCTTTTAGATGGACTGGCGACTCATGTAGCTGACCTCAGCACTTGAGCTGTTCAGTCTTTTAGATGGACTGGCGACTAATGTAGCTGACCTCAGCACTAAGGCTGGGCCGAGCTGTCGCGCACTGCGGTCACAGCAGCTTCCTCGTCCCCCGTGGTGGCTTTAACGGGGACAGACCGTAAAAACTCGGCCTGCTTGCCGGGCTGACTCCTCGCGACACCCATCTGACACTGATGGTGACACTGGTCGCCGTGTCACGACAGGCACACAGTCGCACCCACTGACGGCTCGGCGGGGGGCTGTCCGTCGGGCTGCCGCTGCGGTCGGGGACGACAGAGGGGACGGGTGTCTGAATTATGGCCCGCCCGCGCCATGGAGGTGTACCGCGGCGGTGTGCACGGCGGCGGCGGCCTGCTGTTTACACGGGGCCGGTTAATTAATTGACTCGGCCGGTGCTGCGCCGAAGGACGCCGTCCAGCGCCGCCGACCGCCTTGACCAGTGCCGACCAACACAAAAAACTGCCGCCCAACCGCGGCGCGTGTGGGGTTTGTTGTGACGTCGTGCCGCGAACAAATGCACGCGTAATTAAAATGGCCCGGTGCTAAAATGGCGCGCTCATTTCGGAGCACGTCCCCCGGCTGTTTGCTATTTCGTGCGATTGTTTGGACCCACTGTGATTGATATAGCAATTACGGCCGCCGCCGCCGCCTGAAAGGGTGGCATAGTGTGGCGGCGAGGCGCCATTCGTCAAAACGCCTTCGGCTGTTTGTGTACGGTCCATGATGACACGCGTGTTCAGCGCTGTTGTGAACTGACATGGAACAAGCTCTGTGTATTTTGCCGGTCGGCCCAGTGCCGACGATCACGTACTCCGAGTGCCGTTACAACTTGCAACAGCAATGGCATTCAGAGCGCTCTGAGTTTCCTCACTTTGTGTGTGGTGTATACGGAAGCAGTTGTAGCCAGTGTCTTGCATTTTGTTACATTAATATTTTTGTCGAGTAACTGCTATTTTAATATTAATATAAGTCATGACGATGAAAGTAATTCATACTTGCGTCTGAACCTTTTTAGGTGTTAAATTTGCTGTTAACTGTCGTTAACCGCCTATGTTATTCGTCCACAGCCGTCCCAGTCCTTATTCATCCACAGCTCTTGCAAACCCAACTCACAGATGACCCTCTCTGACTTCTTTTCTCTTTTGTCGCCAGCCGCCTCCGAGCCCAGCTGCCCGGGTGTGCACTGCGACCCGGGGGTGAGCTCCTGCCCGTCCGACTCTGTGCTGAAGACGGTATCCTCGGAGCAGGCCGAGTGCTGTCCGCCGGCCGGCATCTGCCTCTGCGACCTGGAGTCGTGCCCCCGGCCTCCGACCTGCCCCGAGGGCCACGAGCTCTCGCAGCTCACCAAGGGTCGCCACAAGCCCGGCTTCTGCTGCAACACCTGGGAATGCAAGGCCACAGGTGCGCAACGCCGCGAGACTGACACGTACCGACGGCACTGAACCCTCCCCGCAGGACACACCACACGCGGATTGAACGATCGCTTTGTTTATCGGAAACGGCAGACGGGAGATCACGAGATGGACATGCTGAATCGTTTTTGCTCTTAGTAATTTGTGATGGGCTGCGGTTGCATGCGAACGTTAGCTAGATAAATCGGCATTTGATCAATCGCATTCGTTGTTTTGTTAGAACACCGCTCATAAAGATTATTGAGCTTGCCTTTCTTTTTAGGCATAGTGGCATCTGCGCTTTATGTTAGCATAGTAGCGTTAGGTAACTCTTCTCTGACGAACGAATAACCGCTGTGCTATAACCCATTCCGTCCATTATGCTATAAACTGGTCCGGTTTTATCAAATAAAACCGTCTCAGACAAAGCTTGCCACGTCTGTAAAATCGCGACTCAACGGAGCGACAGCTTCTAGCAAATATTTAACGCTCAGTTGACGCTTCAAGGCAGCCGTTCACCGCCAGTGCCTTAGACCAGCTTTAGGTTCAATCACCATCAACGGGACATCTGCTCCGCATGGCTTTTGGAGACATTCATGACGCACGTGCAACGACTGAAAATTCAGTCTCCCAACTCCACGTGACGTCATATCACTCTGACGTCATACCATAGTGACCGCACATTCCCACTGGTATGACCGATATGATCGAGGCGGGGCAGAGCCTCGTAAATTTATCCCGGCAGTCTGTAGATGGTAGTTGTCGATCGACTGACCAGAGACTTTGACAGGGATCTTACGCAGGAATCTCTTTCCCACCCTGATTTTGTGATACTGCTAATGGCCCAGGAATAGAATAAAACATGACTACTGTGCGTGGGAATGGGCGGTGCCGGTCACGCACGCTTTCTTTTACCGCTGGAATTTCCGATACGGCTTTTAGACTGCGTAGTAGGTATTGTTTGATGAATTATTATAAAAGGTCGGGCACAGTGTAGTCGTCGGCTGTCATGTTAAACTTTTTTTAATGAATCGGCGTAAAGCTGTTATAAATAAACACAACACAAACGTGACCTCAATTAGGTCTTCAAACTTCAAAGTGACGTAAGAATAATATAAGCTTTTCACAAACAACGAGATCGTTTCATCCATTTTTGGAGCATGGGCCAGCTGCATTCTTTAATTGATTTAACACATTGCAAAATATTTAGTCGTCCGAAATATTAATCAAGAATGAGTAGGTGTATGCTTTATGACACGGTTAATCCGTATCACATATTTCTCTCATCCAACTAAAACCCGAAATGTTAATATTTGGCTTGCGTGCCTTAGCAGGACACTCGACACCACTCGTTTGAACAGTGAATCGTTAGAACTCGTATCTGTACTCGTATGAACACTCGTTTGAACGATGAATGCTAACTATCCTATCCCGCGTCTGACCGTCTCCCCGTTCCAGTTTCTCAGGCGAACCTGAGCTGCACCCACGAGGGCCGTGAGTACGGTGCCGGCGAGCGGTGGCAATCGAACCTCTGCACGAGCTGCCAGTGCAAGAACGGCCTGACGTTCTGTCAGTCGGCCGAGTGTCCGCCGGTGGCGCACTGCGCCAAAACTACCCACGATCCGGACCAGTGCTGTCCACGCTGTGTCGGTGAGTTCGGGCAGGCGTGGAGGTAGAGGAACATGGGTCTGAGGGAGTGAGTAAGGGAAAGAAGGGAAAGAGGGGGTAGAGATGAGATGGGAATGCAGGGAGTGAGGGACGGAAAGTTGAGTAGAGGGCACGGGGACGGTGGGATGCAAAGAATAGGCGTTGAACCATCAGTAAAAAGTTACGATTTCCATGAGCTCTTCCAGGAATTTAAGTTATCGGTGATAATTAGGCATACTTTTCGACGAGTCAGTGTATGCTGCCGGTTTGATTTTTTTTTGCTGTCGACGTTTCTACATATTCTCAAAGAAGGGATATTTGCTGATCATAATCCCTGTAACAAAAACAAACCTATGGAAACCCCGTAAAATGCAGATTGCCGAGTCGATGTCTATATGATGTCAATCGTCTGCTTCCGTACCATCAATTTGATGGAACGAAATGACATTGTTTTTCCGGGAAAGTTTCTGTGCGATGTGTTTCCTACGCAGACACAGACGTCAAAACAAGACAGAACATGTGTTTGTGCCGCGTTCGAAGTCCGTCGGTAGCTGTGGCTTTAGACGCTGAGCTGATGAGTAAAAAGCCTTTCAGTGTTCAGTGGTTGGTGCTTTGGTGAAACTGTCCAATCCATCTACCAGGAAACATTCCCACTGACCAGTGAGGAACAGACACATCGGAACAAGGTTTTACAGATGGATGTCGCCTTTTCAAAATATTTTGCATAAAGACGAATCTCTAAGAAAAATTGCGGCTGTACGTAAAGCGAAATCAAAATTGAGAATGCTAGAAAAAAGATAAGCGTATATTATATTTTTAATTGATTTGTTCTTTGAAGACATTTACGTACGTTTGTAGTGACACTAACTTATTTTTCGAAATATTAAATGGAAATAGCTTTTGAACTTTCGTACGCTAAATGCGCCTCTATTGGTCAATGCAACGTGGACCGTGCCGTGACGAGCCCGACTGACAGACATCAACCCCCCCCCTCCCCCCTAACCCCCTACCTCGGCGGCTGGCCTGGCCTCTGGTGCCCAGCAGTGACTAAGTGTCAACAGATGCGGGCGTTAGTCACGGGTGACCGGGTGCGCCGCCATGAACGCGATCACCAAACAGCTGTGTCGGGAAGGCGTCACAACCAACATTCGCGTGCAGGCCTTTGACCCGACCACTGTCATTCAATCGGTTTGACCTCGGGTTGACCTGACGAGCTAACAACCGGCATTACCTTGATCGTCAAGGTCAAGGTTCGACCTCCAGGGCGGCATGAATAAGTAACACATTGTTTTGCTTTGATTAGGCTACCGACCTTCCGTATGACCAGTCCAACATAAGACCGTTACTTACCTGATTCATCCTCAGGACTTTCTGCGTGTAGCATGTAGCCACCCCTCGCTTCGTCAGTTTCAAGTTTTTTTTCTCCCGTGGATGAGACGCTCGCCTTTTTTTAGCATGCTATCAATCAATGCTGTTGTATCACTCTGCCAATACCATGATTACACCCATCTCCTTGATGAGACATTGTGATCACATCTACGATATACCGGCGTAAAAAAGGCTCCGCGCTGCATTGCGCTGCCCACAGACCTCCAGTGTTTCCCATCTCATCTGGATCGTTGCCGCAAATCCGCCTCACAAGTCGTACCCAACTCAGGGCCATACAATATTACAATAGTCTGTCGGATCGCGTTCTCTCGGACAAATTCCCTCAGAGCGGCCGTCCGACACCCCATTCGTCGCCACCGCGGAGCTGCTGACCTCTGTTGACCCCGGCGACCCGGGCGGTCCGTGTGAGGTGCAGATGACCGGGCGGGCAATCGCGCAAAGTGGCGCGCTGGACGGCGGTGGCCAAAGTGGCGCTCTGGCTGCGCCGGGCTTGCCGCCGATTGCTGGCCGAATGCCTTGTGCCGTACCGGTGAACGAGGGCGCTCATCGCGGACGGGAGCCATGAGTGAGATTGGCTGTGTCAGGGACAGGATGTCTGGCCTGGGAGGGGTGACGGAATCCCGGAGACGTGCTGGTCTCGTTTTATGAAGAGAGGGTTGTCATATGGACATTGTTTGCGACTTTTTCTTCGTGACCGTCTCGAATGAAACGCTCTTTTATTCGGCGTCATTTTTAATAACGACAAACCATATCCTGGCAGCAATATTCCCTGACCCTCCCATGGCCCTTTATGACCTCCTCTCATCCAGCCTCTCACGTGCCACCTAATTCCGCTTTTGCGACGTTCACTCCTCCGTTCGCCCTTATTTGACCTTCTTCCTTCCCATCGACCTCCTTCCTCTCATCCCACTCGCCAGTCATGCACAGTAGCGTGACTGGGATGGTACACCACCTCCAAATGCCCCACATGGCAGGCGTGTGGGGCCGCGGTCCAAAGACGGCAATACGTCCTGTCCCATCCTGCACCGCCCCTGTTTGTTATTCCGTATCAACTCCGCAACATTGGTGCAGCTGCTGTTCCAACATCTTGGAACGCGGCGGGATTTCTGTCCGGGAATCTCGACTGCAGATTGACAAGGTCGCTCAGCGTGGTTGCGACATTAGTAAATCATCGACTAGATAGATGTCTTTAGAGGGAAGTTAATTGCAATGTGATCAATAAGGCACCGGTACCTCGGAATTTCATTTGATCCTGTTGTTTCATTTGCGAAACAACGTGAGGAAGTTCATTTGCCGGACATGATCATGTGTGCATCAAACATGTTCCGTCGCGGCGAATTTTTGTTTTATCTCCGGTTAAAAAAGGCTTATTTCATTCAAGCGTTGCCATGTGCAAACGGCAAAGCCGCAACCGGCAAAGCGTGCATTTGAAGGCGAGGATGTCACCGATTCGTCTGTTCTTGCAGCTTTCTGGTACCTATATCCTAATTAGTAATTATCCCAATAAAGGCAACCTCATTTGTCGACGCTTACCTATCGCCGTTCCACACAGTAAGTCTTCCGTCAGACCTAGTATGTGACTTCCTGTGACCCCAGACAAGACGGACGTGACCTGGATGACCTGTTGTGCGATCAGACTGACCCATCACGTACCGATCCGGGGATCCCCAGAAGACAGGCCTGGGGTGTAACTGACCCATCACGTACCCTCCCGTTATCATCAGCTGAACGTGTCTGATCGCCTGTCATGTGACCCGTCTGACCCCCTCCCATAGACAGACAGGCGTGACCAGTCATATGACCCGACTGACCTCTTCCCCCCCCCCCCCACAGACGGGCGTGATCTGTCATATGACCCGGCTGACCCCCCTTCCCTCCCCCCACAGACGGCTGCCTCTCCCCCTCCGGTGAGCACCACAACGTGAGCGAACAATGGCTCGAGGACGACTGTACCACGTGCTCGTGCGAGGCGGCCGGTCAGCCGCGCTGTGTCTCCGAAATGTGCCACATCAGCTGCCGTAACCCGCGCCGAGTGCCCGGACGCTGCTGTGCCGTCTGCGATGGTAAGAATGAGACCTGGGGCTGCTGCACTGCTGAGAGTAGCCTTTGAACGGTGGTAGGACGTAATAAATTCGTTAATCGTTGTGAGAGATTTTTTACGTTGCTTTGGGTAACAACCTACATCTAGATTTGAACCAAGGTTACAAGCGTCTCACATGATGCTAGGATTAAAATCTCCATGTGAACGATGCCATACGTCGTAAACATGACTGTGATGTGGAGGGTAAAAGTGGATGTGATACTTATCGAGGCCCTTGGCTTCTTCTAATTGGATAAAATATGGAAAGAGATTGGATTATTTTGTAACTTGAAATTTTATCTTGTGACATCCACTCTCCTTTCTCTCCGCATTAGTTCGATCCATCTCAAGTTAAATCTCCCGTGCCAAATCTCATGATAGGCCCGGCTGCCCGCCTGTCTCTATCACCGGCTGGCAACCTACAGCTCTGTCTGCCTGCCACCGCTGTGGTATCGCCCCACCCGGCGCGCCCGGCTGGCTGAGAGCCGCCAGATAATGACCTCAGTGACCCCAGGGATCGGCACGCCGACCGATACACCCCCGGGACTCGGGCCGTCCGTCGGGGCCCACTGGGACGAGCTCTGAGACCGGTCACGGGTCACGGGTGTGGTGTCGGGTGTCGATGACCTGAGCTGGGCTGATGATGTGTGCTAGGAAAGGTAGGGCTCAGAGCTGCTGGGTTCCACGTGCATTTCTGTCGCATTTGATTTATGTAAGATATAAATTATTACGCACAGAATAGCTGATTGATCCATCGTGAGCGAATGTCTAAATTAGTCGCAATAATTTGTCCAGTGTTTTCGAGCGTTTTCAATGCCCTCTTTGCTAATACCAGGCTCGTTGCTCCGCACCCGCACAACGCTGGACAGTCATCGCAAGCCATCTGTTTTCATTAGGGCTGTCATAGCGAAGCACTGATCCCGAGCTACCCGTGCTGCCATCTGTTGGCTGCGTGACGAACTACCCTTGCTGGCTACGCTCGTCCACTCTGGTGTACCCCATGAACTCGTCAAAGGTTTACCAGGTGTTCTGATCTGGCCTGGGAGAACCAGTTCCGGCATTCTTTTACCAGCACCTGGACTCATTTTTATTCATGTGTCGATAAGGTTTGATTAGATAGCACTGGCTGAAATTCAACTAATTGAAATACAAAATGGTTTTTACATTTTTCATTTAAACGTTGATTGACATTCCATGGAAGTAATTCGTTGTCACTGGGATTGGATACGCATTTCCCAAAACCGGTATCAATTATGCATTTACGTTATCAAATGCCGTCCCTTATTTTAGGAAAGTACGGCACTTTATAGGCAAGATTGGCGCCTGGTCCCTGCTAGACTAGAGGGAGGGGGGGGGGGGCATTGGCTGAGAACAAATACCACATCAGTCTCTCCCATCCGGCATGTTTTTCTCATGCGCTATTGCAGAGACCCCCCGCAACCAAATGTCATTCCCAGGCTTTGTTGATCTGGGAGGCGTGGTATGTTTTTGTTTATCTCGTGTTATGTGCGCCCTGTGGTATTCGAACGGTCCCACACATATGGTGATGAGACGATTCGGTTACCTTCTCGCTGCATGCTTAATTTTGCGGCTGCTCGCTCTCAGACCTCAGGTCAGGCTTTGGTTTCTCTCTCCCATCCTATACTGACCTTCCCATCCTGATGTATGCATAGTTCTCAGCTCCACTGCCATCGCTGCCGCCTGCTCCCAGCTGCCAGCTCTCAGGCTTGCAGCTCGAGTTGCCAGTCGTGCTGCCAGTTCGGTTGCAAGCTCTGTTGCCAGTCAGAAGTCGAGCTCAAGTGCTCTCGGCGCCTGACCGTGCCCGTCTGTTACGTTCCCAGAGCTGGGACCAGCTGGATGAGTTCTCGGCATCAATTCATTATTACATCAGCCTAGTCGCTCATCACATGATGTCACATCATCAGCTCCTATTGCTGCTAATAGCTTTTTAACGAGCTCGCAGAATCCCAAAACTGCATTTGATTGTTGACTCACGTGACGTCACCATCCGTAGAATGCTGGCCACCCTGGCCACCGCACCCACCATGAGCCCCTCCTCTTATCACCTCACTAATCGCCTGTGATGACGTCATTTCCGGCAGAGTGTGACGTCATGTGTCAGCACGGCTACCGGACGTCTCGCGACGGCACGCCCCTCTGCGAGTGTCTCACGGCTGACGAGGTGGAACATAGTGTCCAGGGGTGCCGCAGTATGGCCACCTGTAAGAAGGCCTGCCCACACGGCTTCAAAGTTGATGAGGACGGTTGTGAGAGGTGAGATCGACACTCGACAGGGGGATTATCTAGAGGGGGAGTAATGTTGTTTTAATCTTAAGAATTCTGGCCTTACATATGAGTCTTTTTCAATAGTAAATCAGTAACCAGTTTTTTTATATACGTCTTAGTGACGGCTGAGCTTACCACATATTTAGGTGACACACTGCTTTCGAAACTAATCGTCACGTATGCAATATACGTCATTCTCCACTTGGATTCCTCATTCTTCGGTCACACAGCTATCAGAGATTTCAAAACCACCGATATGCCAGTCAGTAGTCGGACAGCTGTGTTCCAGCGAGTGGATCGTTCCCAGGACCATTTGGAGCTGCTACTAACTAGTTATTCTCTGTATTCATCCTATCTCGGTTGTCACTCACTGATTGGCTCTCATTCGCCTGTCTATCACACTATGCAATATATCTCCTCTACTAATTAGACAAACATTCATTCTTTGACATGACCGTCTGACGCATTGCCATATTCAAAGTCAGAGCCTCGGACCGGAACACTAATTTACGGGTCGTTTGTGAATGGACTTTTCCGTTCGTACGCCCTGACCCGAGCCCTTCTTCCGGCAGGTGCAAGTGCAAAAAGTGCCGTAAGCTGAAGGACTGCAACAAGACGTGTCCGTTCGGGTTTGAGACCAACGACCGGGCGTGCCCGATCTGCAAGTGCCGCTCGGAGCCGACTGTTGACGAGGACGTGACCTCTGACCCCGGGTCGGCCGGTGACCTGCACTGCGTGACCCAGGGTGAGTGCGCCTTCCCCCCCCCGTTCCCAGTCTGCGGAGCCCCGTGTCCTCAATAGCCTAGCGTCACAGTGAATAGCTGGAGCAACATGGTATTGAGGTTTCATTGTTAGGTAGATTGGGACTAATATTTGTAAAGGAAATGCGGACTGGAGTTCTGAACTTGTCCCAGTCTATGGTACATTTGATTTGCTGCTTTAGTCAGTTAAATATATGACTTTGACCATAGAGACTGGAGCTCAATATCATTTGAGATTGGAACCATTAGTTTATTCACCGTATGAAACAAGCCAAATACAAACACATCTAGTTACTTACAGTCTGGCGAGTTGTGATATGCACATTTCTTGCTGCTTGCTATCCATATAAGCATAGTAGGTGATGGAAAGAGTATATCAATATACCTAAGCTTCACTTGCCCTATCCCTTGTGTTGACCTGATCTCCCCTCTCCCCTCTCTCTCCTCTCCCTCAGACGGCCGCGAGTACGAGGAGGGTGAGCAGTGGCACGACGGCTGCCGTCAGTGCTACTGCCACGGCGGGGTGGAGATGTGCGCAGTTATCTCGTGTCCCGTGCCGCGCTGTGAGAGACCAGAGATCGCCGAGGGACAGTGCTGCCCCACGTGCCCAGGTAGGTGCCGTGTGCCGTGTGCGAAACATGTACCGGTACGTAACGTATCTTCTTACGCTACGCCTTTTGTCCGAGAGCAAAAAAAGTTATAAATCAAAAATAAGGAGAATGTGACCTTTAAAGAAGTTGGTTCTCACGATAAGGTGACTTTTGACATCCGCCCGGTGACCTCTGAACTCTGCATGTGATCCCTGACCTCCACTCGGTGACCTCAGACCTGCACTCTGTGACCCCTGACCTCCGTTCGGCGTTCGCTGACCTCTGACGACCTCCTCCTGCCCGTTTCAGACGGCGTGGAGCACCCGGCCCTGCTGAACGTCACCGTCTGCCAGTCAGTGGACGGCCGCACGTACGTGGAGGGCCAGACGTGGCAGCTCGACTCGTGCACACGCTGTCTGTGCCACGTGGGCCGCGTGCTGTGCAGCGCTCCGTCCTGCCCGCCGGCCCCGTGCGCCGAGCCCGTCCGGACGCCTGGCGGCTGCTGCGGAACCTGCAGTGTCGAGACCGACCACCAGGTGGCAGGCGCGTCGTGTCTGGACGCGGCCGGCGCCGAGCGTAGTGCTGGGGAGAGCTGGCGGCAGGGCTCGTGTGTGAGCTGTGTCTGCAGGGACGGAGAGGTGGCCTGCTTCCACGAGAAGTGTCCGCCCCTGGACTGTGTCCGGCCCGTGCTGAAAAAGGACCACTGCTGCCCGGTCTGCCTCGGTAAGAACAGGGGACATTCAACGCGTATTTTCAGCACTTTATGCTTCAAACAAGGAATTTCAAGTATAAAGAATCCCAAAAATATCGCTGAATACATTCCTACATACTGAGTATTGCTGCTGATGAAATGATAATTTCTTGTTAGGAATCAAGGCCAACCAATTCAGAACGTAAGGTTGACTTCTGTGCATTCGTCCACCACAGACATTTTCAGTACACGAAACCTAGGGGAAAATCAGGATCCTGGTAAAATCCACCACCGAACCTTGAAGCTTATCCAACGCTTACGCTCAATTCCTCTAATTCACCCCCAACACCCCCTGCCCGTCCCACAGAACCTCCTCCATCGTCTCACTGCATCTACAAGAACCGCACCATCTCTGACGGCGACGCCTGGGACGTGGATCCGTGCACCAGCTGTGTGTGCCAGCACGGACAGACCATCTGCACGCGCAAAACGTGCTCCGTTCAGTGCGACGATCCGGTGGAGGAGGCCGGGCAGTGCTGCCCCGTCTGTAAAGGTGGGAATGGGCGGGTAACGGTCGCTGGTCCTGGGTCGTAGTTTCAACTTAAGGAATAAGAATGTCAGGGTGTCCATGGTCCGAAGTTTTGAGAACATGGATGACGTTGTGCTTTGTAGTTGCGTGATCGAATGTCAGTCGTGGCCCGAAAACTTCCAGAGCCATGACTTAGATAAACATGCTTAATTGCTTACCTCTGTAGCTGCAATGTTGCATAGTAGATAAACAGCTGTTTTCATCGACCCTCCCTCCCGTAGCAAGTAAATTTTACCTTTTCAAAACACTTGAACAAACCATGTGGTATCCCAGCATCATCACAATGTGTCAGCTCTGTCGTTTCTAACACCGTTTTGCCTTCCACCAGAGGAGAGCGGCACAAAGCGTAACTACCACCTGATGAGTGGAGTGAGCAAGGCCACGCACCGGACTGTGGTGCGGGGTCCCGAGGGCGGGTCACAGACGGCTCACCATGGAGTCGAGCGGCAGCCAGGTACGGAGAGAGAGGGAGAGGAGGGAGAGGGAGGGAGGGTCGCAAACGTCCGCCCCAGCAAGAGGTGGAGCGGCAGCCAGGTACGGAGAGAGAGAGAGGGAGGACGAGAGAGAGAGAGAGAGAGAGAGAGAGAGAGAGAGAGAGAGAGAGAGAGAGAGAGAGAGAGAGAGAGAGAGAGAGAGAGAGAGAGAGAGAGAGAGAGAGAGAGAGAGAGGACGAGAGAGAGAGGGAGAGAGAGAGGGAGGGAGAGAGGGAGGGAGGGAGTATTACAGACGCCCTACCACGGGGTCGAGCGGCTGCCAGGTATGGAGAAAGAAGGTAGTGAAGAGGGAAAAGGTCTGAGAGAGTTCCGTAGCCTCGACAGAAGCTAGAATAACCTTGACAGGGAATGCAATGTTAATTTGTTTTGTTTGGTCAGGCTCTTTCGGTCTAATTAGATCATTTCAGGGCCATGGAACGCTATTCATTAGGCGAATCTGTCAGTGATACCAATAACCACTTCTGACCTCCGACCTTTGACCTCTGACCCCTGACTGACCTCTGACCTCTGGGCTGTCTGTTACCGACAGGCGGCCAGCAGGCGACGCCCAGCTACATTGCTCTCTGGGCCGTCATCGGCCTCCTGGCCCTGCTCCTGCTGGCACTACTCGTGGTCTACTGCGCGCGGCGCCACCGCAACGGCTACTCGCCCAAAGAGATGACCGAAGAGAAGAAACCCCTCAACGACTTGCAGGTGATGAGAAGCTTTTCCAACGGGCGTGACATCCACCAGGACGTACTGGAGAAGACTGGCGTGAAGGCTGTGTAGTACGCCCCCTCCCTCCCCCTCTCCCTACCAACCGGTGGACCGGCCGGCCGGCCGAGCAAATCCGAACTGTGGTGAGACAGCGCTGTCACAAACGCTAGTGGCATTTTGCGCGAGTTTTGTGTTTTTGTGGTATTCGAACCGTGCGGCTGGCTAGGGCTTCTTACTAGGTCTCGATTTCCATGTGAGTTTATCCGTAGCGCAACGGTGTGTTGGCGTTTTATGACGTGGCAATCGCCGAAGCGCGAATGAATCGCTCTCTGAGGGCTGCAGGACGGCGGGCCGAGGCCAGGCCGGGGAGAGGACCGAGCGAGTCGAGAGTGGAGGCGCCCCGCCGCACGAGCGCCAGAGCTGGCAGCTCCCATCATTTCACCTGTATATAGCCGACGTTCCCCATCATTTCACCAGTACAACGCGAAGTGGTCGCGTTCGCCGTCGCGTCTCGTCCCGAAATCGCGTTTTCGCTTGCCTGGCGGGAAGCCAGCGAACTGTTGGTTAGCGTGATGGCCGCCAGGCGGCAGCAGTGTGCACGTGGCCGGCGCCCTGAGCTCGCGGCGCCCGGTGAATGGGAAATGATTGTTCAGTGACGCGCCGTGCTGCGACGCGCCATCGGACAATTGACTGTGATATGTGTGCGCGGTTCTCGGTATGGCGGAAACGGAAGGAAAGGTCGCTGGCGTGCCGTGGAGGAAGCGGACACGGCCCCCGCCGCCTCAGTGTGCTCTGATAGCTCTCAGACTTGCGTGGAGTCGGTAGCGAGTTTTGTATTGAGAGGAGTTGATCCGATTCGTGCTACCAGGTGTTCACCGATGGTTTTCAGAAGCGACTGTACCGCAGTGTTCGGTCGTCGCGGTTTCGTTCAGTTGCTTGTGTGTATGCAGTGCCAATGCTGCCCGCTTCCGACCAGCGAGTGTGTGCGTTCAGTTTATCTGCCGAGCAAATGTCACTACTAGTGTTAGCTGTATCGAGACACATATTACCAGCTGTCTTATGCTACCATGTATTTATGATTATAGACAATATCTTGACAATATCTCGCTGCGTTTGATATGGAAGGATTCAAATTTCAAGGTACCGTTGTTGGATGCGAGATTCTTTTCGAATGAGCCTTGGTTTTCACACGAAGCTCTCATTTACACTTCACCATACAAAATACGAAACATGAGACAGGGTGCTATATGGGGACAATTAATAGATAATCAGACGTTCTTACGCGCTTTCGATCCATGAGTGACGATTTCTATCGATACGGTATGCAATAATATGCATCCGTTCCATTTTTAGTTGTTAATGTTTCACCGTCATTATATTTCCGTTCCTTGGTCTTCATATAAATTGATCAGAAGGTGTTTCCAGAAATCGAGCTACAAGCTATGGATTCATGGATCGCCAGCGTAAACGATAATTGCGAGACGATTTATATGCAACTTATTCCCACTTCAGCCAAGACGAGAGTGCATGGTTTTGTATCACACTCTAATAACGACAGTCCAAAAGCCAATGTTCAACTAAGCCTTGGTATTTGTTGACCTTTGGAATTGCAAACAACCAATTAAAGAGAAGAGTTCACGAATGGTAGAAAGGTCCGCCGATTTTTCACGATCATTTTAGACGGCGTTCTGTCGTTTGTCACTGAACGGCCTCCTCGTTATAAAATTCCCTAGTTTATCGGTTTTACGTTCTAGTCTGACATTTGCCTGTTTGCCTACTTGTCTCATCGTACGAACTTTTTGCTGGTTCGGGAAATCCGTGATAACCGGCCTCGAATGACAATATCGTCGACATGGGCGCCGCCACCGGGGGGGACGGGGGGGACGCGTCCCCCCCACTCTCAGAATGGAAGGGGGACGTCCCCCCCAAACTCATTACGGAGCGAGCGAAGCGAGCGTAGTCTTTCGTAGGTTAACGGAAATTTCTGAGTATGCCGTGGTCACGCTTTTGCTAGGCTTATATCTCAGCAACCACTTGACCGATTTACATGCGGTAATTTGTGTAGGGTAGCACTAGATTCATTCCTTCTAACAAGCATCGGACTATTCCCGATGCATGTGAGTGACCCCATATGCACGTGCCACGTGAAAAACGAAGAGGTGTCAGTTTTGTAACAATTTCAATATCTCGGCAACTACTGGGCCGATTGCGCTGAAAGTTGGCATGTAGGTAGGTAGGTATACCCACTAGGCAATGCATATTCATGTGCCACAGTTGGGGCGCTGCTGCACGTGCGCACATGCAGGGGTCGATTCCAGATCTCGAGAACGGCTGAACCGATTGTCCTGAAATCTGATACATGGTTAGGGACCGGTTAGTAGGGTGCCGTGCAAAAGTCATTTGGGACCCATTTTGCACGTGCGCACGTGCACGGTGCCGCTTCCAGATCTCGAGAACGGCTCGGCCGATTGCGCTCAAATTTGGCACATCGTTAGCGACCGGTTAGAAGGGTGCAGTGCACAAGTTGTTGGAGGTATCCCCTCGCAATTTCGCACGTGCAAGGCCCACCCCACCCTCTCGCTCGCTCCGTTGGTCGCCCCAAAAGGCGTTTTACTGGTTGTTTATCCTACTCGAAATTTGATTAGGCCCTTCGGTCCAATGAGACCATTTCAGAGCCGCAAGTATGAAAGAATTAGTGGGAGACATTGGTCGGGGCAGCCATCCCAGTGAGCCACTTGGGATGAACCCGACCAATTGAACAGGCAGCCCAGCCCACCATGGCACTCACTGCACCCGGCAAAGGACTATAGCTCCAGTGGAGCCATTCCCGCATGGGATAGAGTTGCCCGTCCAGCCCGGAGCAGGGGGTTGCGGCGTGGAGGAGAAGGATTTGACTGTCATGAGGATGGAAGAGATGGAACGGCCGGTGCCGAATCTGAGAGGGTCCAGGAGGTTTAGATACTCAGTATATGGGGTGTGGGCCTACAGGCATTGGTCTTACCCGTGCCACCTCGGCCAACAAAATCTCCAGCTCTTATCCGACCTGTCATCGCGGAACTGCCGATTTTGGATATCGTGATCAACGTGTGTCGTATAACACGACTGGCCGAACACGGGCCTAATATATTTCGTCTAACCAGCCAAGAGCATGACTTTACACCAATCCGACCTCGAAGTCAAAATCCGAACATTTTCGAAGACTTCAACTCCGACTCTGGCCAAAACTGGCCAAAACAGTCAACTCCGACTGATTTCGGCTCCGACCCCACACTTCTGCAGTCACGCTACACTAAATTTCCAACTTCTAAGAAATTAGTTATACGGTTGACAGGACCTCAAAACTTTGAGGCGACTTTACTACTTGACTTGGTTTTCCTGACCTAAGGTTTTCTGGTATCAAGCTTGTTACACGGGCTGCAAAATTCGTATTTTGGAGCAGTTTTGCCTAATGTTTTTTTTTTTTGCCAATTTTCGCGGCGCTTCGCGCCGATTCGTGCATAAACCAAAAAGAGAGATTTGTGACTATACAACGCCCCCTCCCCCACGCGGGTATGCAATACATAGAGATCTTATATACATATGTATATGTATATAAGATGTATATAGTATATAAGAGTATATATGTATATATGTATATAAGATGTATATGTATATGTATATGTATATATATATATGTATATAAGATCTCTATGATGCAATATGCATTACCTATGCAATATGCATTATCGATCATATTAGTGGCATACATCAGCAATCATACCGTGATAGAACACGAGGCTTTGCCGTGTCAAACTGAATCAGACATCAGATGTGTATATAGGTAGGTACTCGGTGGGAATGCAGTCTATAGCCATTACTTCAAAGAAATACCTACCAAGCATAGTACGTAGTTCAAACCAGCTGAATGCTGATTGGCTAGCATTTTTCCGTAAGGGAATGTATTCCTCGGAAAGAGAATGACAAAGTGTAATCTATGGGAATGACTTCAGTCTTCAAACCTTAAATCGATACCGATATATTTGGCTAGGGTGATCGTTGGGCCATAAAAGCTCCTGATTTGTTCTCGTCTCAGCTCAAGCTACAAAACTGTTACTTCAGTTCAAACCCCTATGTTAAAAGTGGCATATTTGCTTTAAACGTTGAATGCATCCGACCGAAAAAGCCACGGTAAGAATGTCTACTATTGGGTTTTCAGTCGGTCAGTCCGTCCCCCCCAGTCAAAAATCCGTGGCGGCGCCCATGAATTCGTCGAAAATCCAAGCATCCCCTTTCGCTTTCTTTCCTGCTATACGAGTACATATTTCGTTTTTTAATCAACTGAATCGAAAATCGGCCAGGCGAATGCCTTTTGCACCTGTAGGGGAAGCCGGGGGAATCCCGGCATAGTAAGCTCTTTTCATTTTTATTACATACCATACGTGCTGTACAAAATGTTGATATCCTGCTAGCTAGATTAGATATAAGTTAACCCGCGCCCCGCTGGGGGGGGGGCAGAATCTGCCCCCCCCCCTCCCGTTTTTCGCCAATAACTTCTAAACGCGTTACGCCAGCGACGTCAAACTTTCAGTACCTTATCATACATCAATTTGGCACGTTCCCTGAAAATTTGAGCGAAATCCGTCGGAAATTTTTTGAGAAATTGACGTTTTAGTGACGTCATGTTCGCCATTTTCGCCTAAAAAACGGCAAAATTTCAAACGCCGCTAACTTCTTCATTTTTAAAGGAATCAAGACGTAACAAAAAAGGTTATACGTGATTCTACTTTTTCTATCAAATGGCTATCTCGGTTTTTTGAAAATTTTGGATTTTGGCCAAAAATTTTTTCCAAAAAACTGACTTTTTGGGAAAATATTTATAAAATCCAAGATTTTGAGTTTATCGAAAAAACCGGAATATATGTCAAAGAAGTGGTCTATGTGCACCTACATACCAATTTTTAGAAGAATCGGTTCAAAAATGTGGGAGTTATTCAAAATTTTATGACGTCACGACACACAAAAATTTTGAAAAAAATGATTTTTTTGGAAGTTCTAGACCTCGTACGGAAATGAAAATAGCACCATTCGATTCGGCGTGAAAAACTGCATCGGATAGACACCTTTTTAGGCCTTAACAACCAACTTCAAAATTTGACCTCACTTGACCTGACTTTGACCTGACCTCGACCTGAAATTCATCCAGAGGTGGTCCATATCACTTATTGAGTGTGCCTATTGAATTCCATGAGTAAAATGACCCATAAAACATGTGTCGCACATGCCCTTTTCTATATTTTGTTTTTGGTGACCTGACCTGACCTGACCTGACCTTGATCTTGACCTTTGAATGACATTGTGTGCAACGAATATTGTCTTGGTAGTCTAAGAACACGTTTTGGGCAATCAGTCTCAGTCCATTCTTCGGCAACTACGGTGCAAGGCCGATACTGTAGAAACTTGCATTTTGTACCCTTGACCTGACCTTGACCTGACCTCTGACCTACTTAAGCAAAAAAAAATTGGGCTCTTAAGATCCGCCTTGTTGAGAGCTTTCGATTGCCGTTTTCCCCGTCTTTCTACGACCATCGGTTCGGAAGTTAGACAGGGGGGGCAGAATCTGCCCCCCCCCAGCAGGGCGCGTATGGCTGAATAGCCCAGCGGGGCGCGGGTTAACTGGCCGTGTTTTCCCAAAAATTCGGTTTCTTGGAAATAGTATAAGGTTGAGAAAATCGAGTTTTAAAAAAGTGTCGATTTTTCTGGGGTAAGCCCTTTGTAAGTACCTCGTGCGCACTGCGCACCTTCGCACGTTCGTGAAAGATTCTCCAGCTGCGTATCCATTCGGGGAAAGAAATTCTTCGGACGCGTCACACGCTCCACCGTGACCGTGTATCTGTTGCGTCAGCCTCGCCAGGCCACCCAGTAAACAATACATACGGTAAGTGAGTCCAATACAGAGGATGGTTGAACGGTCCGGCGAGAAAAATAGCCCCGGGGTACGGTGCCAGCCCGCCGGGCCGAGGCTCGCCCCCGGAGAACAGCTGTGTGCGCCCGTGCCAAAGGTGCGGTGAAGACCGCGTCGACCTGTCGCCGTCACCACCGCTCGCCGCTCGGCGCACCCACTCTCTCCCCCTCACTGTGACTCGCTCACTCTACACAGGAACTCACTCTCACCTACATACTAATGGGGCGGCGGCCGGCGGCGCGGCGGCCAGCAGGCTTCAGAGCCACCTGCTGGTGTGCAGACAGACATACAGACTCAGCGGTGCGACCAGCGATAAGTGATCAGTGGTTTGGGAGACAGCGGGCGTGTTGGGGCGCCGGACAGTCCCTCTCTGGGCTGTCCCACTTCGCGAACTTCCCTTCGCTGGACGGACGACGGACAACTAACTCGAAAACGGAACCGGACAGAATAAAACAAATCAGGTGGGCATTAGGCCGGCGAGTAACCACCCATTTTACCCAAAGATATTTCCGCAGCTTAGAGTGATGCGGGATGCCGGCGACGCTCTGCTCTCGGGCCTCGGCGGCCGGCGCTAAAGCCTATTCTGTTTGAACGAGTCCCGCCCGATGGGTTTCGTCACATCAGTAATATTTTGATGGGGCCGCTCAGATTGAGATTGCTCTCGTTGACCGTCCGGACACTTGACAGAGGCGCTACTTATGCTCAATGGGCAGCTATGATGTCGCTTTTGAGTCCTAACTCCTAAGATTAAATACCAATACTATAATATTTAGTCAGAATTCTGGCAAATGGGTTGGGTTTCTTCGGAACAGAACGGCGCAGATCTAAGTGGTCATGCTGACCGCACAGTGCACATATCTGAGGTAAATAGACAATCCATTAATTATCTGCATGTCTTGAATGAAGAGCCAAAGAATGCTATGCTCATTGCTCAATTATCCGTTCGAGATTTTGGCCATTTATCTTTACCGTTTTTACCTACCCTTTCCTTCATATGGAAGCTCTTTCCTCAGATCTGGTAGCATTTAGAGACGACATAAATTACGCTATTGCGGCATTGCATCAGCTGACTCTTCTTGACCTACATTTCTTCGGCCTGGGGCGAAAACAAACGGTCTTGCGGTCGCTGGGCGGGCGCCGGTGTTCCGGAGCGCGTGATGGGAGCGCTGGGGTGCAAAGCCACCTTGACCTGTGCACACGTGCACAACACTGCCCATTTGAAGCCCCAGTCCCCTCCAGGCCGTTATTCCAAACTGAAACGCCTCTGAATAGTCTGAAGGAAGATGACGGATGAAAGGGAGCAGTGCTGCGAGGTGAACCAAAGTGGAAACATGGGCGCAAAACATGTATAATCTTCATGCTTCAACTGTGTGTCCCTCAATGTTCGATTCTGACTGCCGCTTGCTAAGATACACTGTATCAAGATGACTGGTAAGTTGATGTTTAGAGGAATTGATTGAAGGGCTGTAAATAATCGGAATGTCATTTGTCTCAATCCTACCTGATTCAGCATTTGATAGGATTAGTCAGCATGTTTATTGTTTATGTTGCAAAATGTTTGCTAGTTGCTTAAGTGCTTGGTAAAAGTTGTTCTTAGTAGTTTGTGCTTGAAAAATGAATGCCCCGTTTCAGAAGGAATGGATGAGAAGCCGTTTGCGGAGTGCTGGAGGAGAATGGGGCTGCGAGACAGGCCCAAATACATCCAGGAGCTGCTGACAGACGGCAGGACACAGCTGGCAGACCACAGTGGCCAGCCTAAGCCAAGACCGGACTGGTTCGATGAGGACCTCTACAAAAAGTTAGTGCAGATTTTGCATCATGTGAATGCAGCTTTTGAACAGGTTCAGTAGGTAGTGGAGAAGCTATGTTCATGTTTAAGCTTCTGTAGTATTTTGTCTTTAACATTTGGAGGATAATGAACATTTAGTGCCCTACCTGGGTGTTGATAAAAAACACATTCAAGACTCTTATCATTGATAACTTTGAGCACAATCGTTCCTGATGTTTCACTGGCTAACCAAAACCGATTTATTTCAGGGGCCAGGAGTGCTTCCGCAGTAACTGCCTGACGCTCTTGATGCTTCACCTGGTGGGTCTGCTGCAGATTATGAATGTGCCGTCCATCCTCAGTGTCCTCATCGCCAGCGGGAAATCAGACACCAGGGAAAAGGCCTTCCTCAGGTTAGGACGACCATAAGTAATGGTAAAATTGGTAATTGGGAACGGATACATCCGTCACATTAAATCGTCACATTTAATCGTTTTGCTAGGTCATTTGTTTCTTCTTTCTTCGGTATATTAGTTACTAATATTTTATTTATTTGCTATTTATCTTCCATTAAAAGTACTCATTCTTCTCATCGATTAAAGCATTTCTTCACTTCTCATCTCAACTATATGTTGTTGAAGCTATGCTGCTAGTGCCATTCTATTGACTGCTGACCCAATCCCACCAGGTTTTGCGTGGTCAGACATTGTTAACTATATCATATCTTGCCACCTCTCTGCCAGGTACCTGGAGACGGTGCGTATGGTGATCGGCTGGTACCGGGGTGACGTGTTCACTGCCGGACAGTGCGCCGCCAAACGGATCGCTACTGTGGACGGCCGGCACGCGCGGCTGTTCAAGTACGCGGCCAGGGTGGGCGCTGGAGCTCCCACGCAGTATGATATGGTGAGAGAATGGTGAAGGAAGGGACGGGGTACGGTATGGTGGGAGGATGGAGACGGATATTGCTGGTGATTGGCATGGTGAGACGCCGGAGGCCGGACGGAGGGACGGGAGAGGCCGGGAGCAGGGACTCAGCTTGAGAGGAAGGAGGAAAGGAAAGTCGGCCGCGCTCGTGCTGGCTGAGATAGGCTGGCACTTTGTGTCTGTTGGGATGCACATTGTACAGTGTGTCTAAAAAGAATGTACCGTCGCCACTACGTGGCGCTGGTGTCGCGAGCCGGTAGTTGGCTGAATCCGCACCAGACCACATATTCCCAAGCGCTAGGTGACAGCTGCGCAGCGGCCGGTAGTAGCGTAAGCCCGAACCTTCGTGACACGACCCCGCGGGGGGTGAGGGAGGGGAGCGGGCGGGGCAGCGCGTGTAGGGAGGGGTGCTCCAGCAAGCTGGCAGTTGTCGCGGCCAAAGGTCAAGGGGGTCACACACCAAGCGAACGGACGCTGATGATGGGTTCGTGGGGATCATGAACTTGTGTGTGGTAGGTGCGTCTTGCGATGCACGGGTGATACGCCAGGTCTAAGCCAAAGGATTCAGGGGAGAGCTGAAGAAAAACACCCTGGTCAACTACGGCGAATAATAGTGCTGAAAAATGGAAAGCATGTGTCAATGCAAGCCTTTATGACTATAAACAACTTTCTGAGGACGCAAAGGCCAGCATTGAATAACGATATCCGGATCGAAATTAGCAATGATTTATAATTAAATGCCGAACTAATAGCGCTGCAAAACCCTCCTAGTAAATTGTCAAGTCGGATTATACCCACTTGAATTAAACTATCCTAAATAAAATTGTTAATTAACTTTCTAACACTGACGTTCTTTATCATACGATAAGTATGGGGTTTGGTCCGGAAATGATATACAACTATCTCAAATTCTCAAGCACACGGAATCGTGATTTCATGCGCTCCTTGCAAGGTCTGATGCTTCAATTTTGCTTTGTTGATCTTGCGTGACGTCATTTATCACGTAACTAAGGCTATCAGTTTTTCGTCAATAACTCCCGATCAACTAAAGCTACCGAGTCGATAAGGCCACTAATGGACATGAAAAGACCTGCCGAATCGATTGATATGCAATATGACCTCCTTTGACCAGCTTCGTGACCTGACGGGCTGTGATCTGACCTTGACCCGAGGTTAACACCTTAACTCTCGCCCGTATTGGTGTTTTTCCAGCCGCAAACGTATAAGGGAGGGGGGCGGGTCCGTTGGACCCCCCCTTGCCGTTTCGCCCCTGATCGAGCTAGAGCTTCGCGGAAAAACGAGCGTGTTGGCCGTGACGAGAGGAAGTCGATGATACCCAATTTTAAGGTCCTAGGTCATCGGTTGACTTTCCAGGTCAGGTCAATGACCCAAAAGTCGGGAAAATCGGGACCTGTTAGAAAGTCGTAAAGCGTGGCTGCTATGGGGTTTTCGGGGTGCTGATCACGAATATCATGTTAGTTTTGATCACAGATGATGTCTTCATGCATTTAGGCCAGGTCGGGTCAGGTCAGGTCAGGTCAACCAGTAAGGGTATTCGTAGTAGGTGGCAACCGCCTCTGACAGCTTCGCAACATGTTACGAGGGCACCAAAACTACTTCGTAAATGTTCATATGGCTGCTAAATTCGAATTCAGCTCCTAAAACTGGCCTAGAAACATGTAAAACTCGAAAAAGTGAACCAAGGTCATCAAAGGTCAATGACCTGACCTGACTTTCCGGTGACCTTGACACCCACCCTAATGCATGGAAGCAGCATCATATCCCATGTTTGAACGCTTAAAACCACGAAAAGACTGCAAACGCGCCGCTAATGCGAGCCGACATACGCCGAATCGCGATTCCGGCCAAACATGGTCTCGAAAAGTAGGTCGCAGGTCAAAGGTCATTAAGGTCAGGGTCATGACAATTTCAGGGTGGGTGTAAAATTGATTAACACGAGGGTACTGAAATTTTCGTCGCGATCGGCCGCTTTTTACGCGAGTTATTCGCGAAAAACCGAGGGAGGGGGGTCCGTTCGACCCCCCCCTCTATACGGGCGAGGGGTTGATCTCACCCGAAGAAAAAGTGTACCATTCGACACGATTGAGCTAGACAAACACGATGCTTCTAAATTCGCGGATCTGCGGTCATTTTTAGCGAAGTTATTTACCAAAAACCGAACCTGTGCCTTGGGCCACTTGACCTGACCTCCGAAGTCATCGGCTGACCCTGGTCCTTAAATGGGAGACCAATCGCTGCATTTCGTAACGACGCACACGATCGTTTCTTTCGTGAGGCTCTAGCTCAATTAGGGGCGAATCGGCGAAGGGGGTTGTTTCCTCACTTCCAACCCCCAACGTCCCCTCGGTATTCAGAAAACCTGAAGGTCCGGTGAGAGTTAAAACGTTTCTCCTGAACGAGGAAGAAATGTAAAAGTCAAAGCTCTATAGACGTCCTGTAAAAGTGGCCATAATAATAAATTCGTTAGAAATAAGATGCTTTTTAAACGACTTCCTCATATAAAATCGGGTGCTGCCAATCTTATAAACGCTTTAGAATGGACAGGGCGTCACTGGCTGAAGTTTCGGTGCAGAAAACGGCTATTTATACCTAAATGCAAAATGGTTTTCATGCATTTCAGGCAATTGTATATTGTCGGTCCCAGTGGCCGAGCTAAAAAAAATCGGTAGTGTTTTGCATCTTTTACGCCCTAAGAAACTACACCATCTATCAAAGTGGGCGGGCTTATTTGAATGGGAGGGCGCATTATGCACGAATCGTGTGCTTTCGTTTATTTTGGACTGTATTTTACCACATCCACTGCTGGTATCACTATTAATATTATCTAATGCCGTGAATACGACAGCATTCCATTTATAAGATTGGGCCAATGTTGTCGCGCCCCGCGAGCTCGGTTTTCCGCTGGGCCGCTACAGGCCAGGAAGTCGGGCTTCGCCTGAGGGCAGGACAAAGGTCAGCGAGGGAGCGCGGGGTCAGCCAGGTATCGCCAAGTGCCGAGCGGATGCCGCTCCCTCCCCTCTCCTCCCCTCCCCACCTCGGTTTAGATGGGGAGGGACCGAACTGCCAATGACATGCGAGCGGTCAAGGCCGCTCGCGCGGCAGCGACCCTGGCGGCCGGGTGCCGCAACTGGGATTCAGCCAAGTTGCCGATTCGCCTCCTGTGGGAGAGCCAAACCAGGGGACATACTTTTTAGATATACTGTACATTCTGGTCATGGCAGAAAAGCGCTAGTGTCGATGGTCATCGGCCGTCGTTTCTTGTGTAAAGCTGCATTCACAGTCCATACTCCATTCTACACCGAACACGGAACAGTGAACCTTGATCTGCTGGTTAAAACATCGGTTCTGCAGCTGCGCGCTGATCAGGGATAACTGCTGACCTGTCACGTGTCTGCTTCACTGCAGGTGCTGACCCAGTGGGGGTTCTGCGGCTACTGATCAGAGACTTTTAACCTGTCGTTTTACCTACAGGTGCTGACCCAGTGGGGGTTCTGCGGCTACGCGCTGATCAGAGACGGTCCAGAGACGGGTCTGCTGCTGCGGCCCGGCTACAGGGAGGGGCTGGCCCACTTCTGGCGCTGTATCGGCCACCGACTCGGCATTCCCGACAGGTTAGTGGAGATCGCACGGAGACATTGGTGTGCCCGGGTACATGATTGGTGCCTACATCAATACTTGGAAGTTGGAAGCCATGATGTGCGTCACTGGTGTGGTGGGTGGGCAATATCGCAAAGGTGTCAACGATATCGCAATCGATACTCTCGGAAACAGATGTGTAAGATGTCGCTGAGGAGCTGTTGCTCAGAGCTCGTGACTTCTATCGGATGCGTTTGTGGAGTCTGCGTATTGGGGGTTAAAGCATTATCTGACAAACACCATTGTTATGGAGTCCTCCAGCTGATAACTCGGGTGGTTTCGATAACACATAATAATTATCCGATACCACCGACCTAAGGGTCGTCCTCTCTTCTCACAATGCTGAGCGTCTCCGTTTCCCGAAATAAGGAGAAAACATTGATTCACTGAGAGGAACCGGGAAAATCGGCCAAATAAACACCGAAGTCCGCTCAGTTTTGCGGCTGGCGCACGGTACCGGAGGAGTACTCACCACGTGATTTGCAATTTAGTGGCACCTCCGGCCGCGCAGCTGTAATGACGTCCGTTTGCCGGGTGGGAAACTGTCCAATCATCCAGTACCGGTGAAAGGGTCAGAGAACTGCCGAGCACCGGCTGAGCGGCCCAGTGGACTCATCTGGAACGAAATCACCGGTCCGGGGTCAAAGTCCAGCGGTCACCTGGCTTTGTTTAGCCAGCAGTTTGCAATGTCATGCTCTAGGTGATGCTCATGCAGTTTTTGTTCGTCCAGCTCTGAGGGCTATGCCGGTTTTGAAGAGTCGGTATTGTGTGCCAGTAAACCCAAATTAACGTCGGTCACCGTTTGTGACTTTGATTCTTGTTGACCGTCTTAATGCAAGACCCAGTTTAAATGCCGTCGCTTTCTAGTGCAGCTAACAAATATTTGGACGCAAACACGAATATTTGCACCTCGTATTTGGCAACTTGGGCTCTTGCCGTTTGATCCGATTGCTCTACTTTTTCCTTTTGTTTGCCGTCGATTCTCGTTTGACCGAACTGTCTGACAATGCACTAACAAATCTGACCCGGCCTCTGGCAGTCTACCAATAAGTCCGACTTGGGACTTCTAAAGTCTGACCCAACTCTCCCCTGGTCTCCTCCCTCAGTCTGAATATGTGCGGACCCGATCTGGCTGAGGCGCGTCGCCGCTCTGAGGCCATCCTCCACTTCGTGATGCGTCCCCTTCTGATCGACCAGCCGGCCCACCCGCGCTTCGCCGCCATGTCCAACGCCATGCTGGAGGGCGTGAGTCTGATCGTGCCACCGTGCGACAACCTGTCGTACCGCGCGCTGGCCTGGCGACTAGCGTTCCCTCGGCGCCACCGAGTTCCTGCCCGCCTCTGGTCCCGTATCACCTACCAGGCCATGATGTGGCTGTTTGCCACCGCCTGGCTCGATACCTGGTTTGGGGCTGCCGTCCGCGCACTCGGTAATTTCCTGCTGTATGTGGCGGTGCGTACCTGTGCGCACGCCCGCTTCGTTCCGTGGTCCTCCAACGCGCGTCGAAAGGTTATTACCTTCCTCTGGCTGGGAGCTAAGGACCTGTGGTGCGGCTGCTGCGAGCTGATCGGCGCGCCGTCCTGCGGCCGCTGGGGGAAGCAGTGGTTCCACCGGCGGCCGATAGATGACACTGTCGCCGTGTGGCGGGCCCGTGTGGTGGCTGAGCTCAGGGAGGAGGTACTCGCTGGATATTACGACGCTGCCCCGCGAGAGGAGGGCAGGGCTGCCGGCTAGGGGAGTGACCCCTGTCCCCCTGTACAGGCCATGGGACGAACCATGTCGGTAGCCTAACAGTGGTATTAGGAAAAGACTACCGCGTCCCAACAGGGTCTGTTGGACGTGTTTCGGAAGCCTGGGTTGTAAATATTTACTGCCAGTAGTACGAATAGCCTGGGATGTTTTAGACTACTCAGAATCCATGGGCGTGGTTTAGCTGCTACCAGTTAAGTTCAGGACAAGTATTATTTATAGTACGGTCAGGTGTATCTAACAGTTTAGAGCTCATTTTCGTGGTGTTTTTTACCTTATTTATTGATTGTTGTATTTCATATTTATTTGTTTTTTTTTTCTCCATGCCTATAGTTTAATTGCCAGTACTTTTATGATTGTAATAGCTGGTCCATAAATGGACATGGTGCGAGCGGCCTTTGGCGCCTCGCAAAGACCCGATCAGTTGTGATCTTTTTGTTGTGACAACGTTGTAGCACTGCACGCTCTATCTGATCAAATAATCCCCACTCATAGACCTGCACTCTCCGGGCTAGTTATTAATAGTTTCGTCGCCTGCAGCCGGTTTTCCGCCACGAACCGTGTTTGTTTGGCGGGTTTCCCTATATCTTTGGGCGGCATCGGACGGGTCAAAGCTCTGGCCATAGGCTCAGGCGACAGGGCGCGTTCAGATAGGATCGTGTATACAGTCCCAGGAGAGCAGATGGCGCGGGGACTGGCGGGTGCAGGCGAGCTTGATACCACGCTCCGGGTTGTAGTGTAAGAGGAGGTGATCAGAGAAGCGGGAGCCCTTGTTGATCGTGTTTTGGGGATCGGAAGCCGTGATCAGCTAGCGTTGAACAGAATAGGAGTGTGTTTTTTAGACTCGTGTGAAAACTGGTGTTGTTATGTATAAGGTATCCCAGGGATGTGGCCTTTAGTTGAAACCATAATACTCATGATGTTACTATTTATTGTTTACTTTTTATTTCTAGATGATTGACATACTCATTACTCATTGATCATTGCCGGTGATGGCTCGGTGGCGTTGTTGAATATATTTCTACTTTTGTATCGTGCTTCCGTTTCTTGGGCATGGTTAACTCAGCACGAGAGGCCTCTACACATGCCGGTAATGCAAAAGCCGTAACGAGACACACGTATTGCTCGAATAATACCGATGCCTGTAGCTAGAGGTTGGCACAGGAGGCATAACGTGCCCGGTGCCATGTTTTTGAAAGGATACGCCTTGATACAAAAAGGAACATCTATCGGGGTTTTCATATTGTACTTCGTCTTTCATACTTACTTTTGACTCGAGAACGTAGCAACATTGCCTAGAAGCCTCTGGAGCGTTATGGTTCGTGACGTGAAACGACACAGCCACAGCACCATTCGACTGCGGCCTCGGAGAGTTCTGTGTTGCCGGCCGGTTAGTTCGATTATCTGTGCCTGGCTGGGTCCCGTTCGTGCGAATACCATTGGCGATTATGACCTTTGTGAAGCTCTGATGGGCAGCCATCATCGAAGTAGATATCATTGTAGTTTGCTATCCGGCAGATATCGTAAAGGAAGGGCCAGAGCCGATGGCCCAGCGAAGTTTGTTCTTGCTCGATTGATCTGCTGCGTAGTCGAGATGTCTCTTTGCTCCAGTGCTTGTTCTCAGGCCGACTGTCATAAAACAGATGTGGGCTGCAACAGGACGGGATAGCGCCTATCCCTGGAATACGGTGACGGATTTATGATACGACAAAGTAGCGAGTGAAGTATTTCTCAGCAGCCTAAGCGTTAATGACTGTCTCATTCGACCGCTGCGTTAAACGCTGAACAAGCAGATGCGTGCATGTTTATGGCGAGAGGAAATAGAAGTGTCAGGTTTTATTGGGCTCTGTAACATATCAGACACACGATACTCACTCCAACCGAACCGCTCGTCAGAAACTACATCAAACTGTCTACTTAACCTCCCGCGCTCGTCATGTTATTGCTGGGAAGACATCTCATTACATCGTCATCTCTCATCGTCTCTGAAATCCCATCATCCTACGCTTCCATCACCTATCTCCATATCCATCTCCGTACATCTCCACCAATAACAGTCCTCCGTCCTTCCATTGCGCGCTGGACGTGCCGCTTTACTGCAATACATCTCCATCGCTGGCTCTCCGCACTCAGCCGGCGGGCGCCAGCCAAATGGAAACTCTGTCGCCGAATCCGACATCAGCAGTTTGGCAGCGCAATGGTCGCCCATCTCATCGCCGTATCGTCGTCAAACTCGTCCGAGCGGGAGACCCTACAGCTCGACTATAGCACGCGCAGAAACAACGCGGCGGCGCCAGCTCCGTCCGACGCGACCCTCGGAACGTCGGCGTCGGCGAGTGTCGGCGTCTGTCGCCGGTCAGAGCTCATAGTTCTCCATTCAGCGCGAGGGGAGCGTCTCCTTGAGACAGCACTCTCCATCATCTGTCCGCCATCAGTCTCACTGATGTTGCCGTACGTCTTGGGTCGGTGATAACGGCTCAGCCGGAGGTCGCTGTTCTCTGCGGATACACTGCAGACAAATCCGCGCCGGAGTTTGAAATGTTCGGCGACTGTGGGCTGGAACGGCGCGGGAAGGCTCTGTACGTTTCATTTCGTTCCAAAAGGGTCATTCTGTGCTGAGAACAGAGGACTCAGGCCCTTGGTCTCAATCGTCTGATACCGGTTGGTCTATTTTTCTTGTTTTTCTCTTGATAGACCACGATAAATTATTGACTAAATTGCAGCTTCATGGTATTGATACAGCTTGGTTTTCGGCATACCTTCACGGCCACACCCAAAGTGTCAGCCTCACTGACGCTCTGGGTGGAAGAACTACTTCATCTCCGCTCCCCAACAGCATCGGTGTTTTCCAAGGCTCCGCCCTCGGCCCTCTTCTCTATTGCATTTTTGCCAACGACCTTAGCTTGTTCGCCGAGGATGCAGTCGTAGTTCAATATGCAGACGACATCCAAATTTTGGTCAGTGGAAAAAAGTCAGAAATTCATAACGTAGTATACCGGATGGAACAGACGCTAGCTTCTCTTGACCTCTGGTTCCGTGCCAACGGCTTAAAAGTCAATGCCGGGAAAACTCAGCTGATGCTGCTGGAAAGCGCTCAAAATTTGCGCAATGCCCCAAATGTTACGGTAAAATTTAGCGATCACGTTATCATTCCCGTTTCGGAAGCACAAAATCTTGGCCTGACGTTCGATCGCAACCTCACCTGGAACACTCACGTCTCTGCCGTCACCCGGCGCTGTTTCGGCATTCTCAGTGGCCTATCACATCTCAGGGGGCGCCTGCCTCCGTCCGTCATCTCCGTGCTGGTCAACGCCTTGGTTCTCTCGCAGCTTCGATACTGTATCACTGTCTATGGCAACGGTTCGAAGAAGAACCTTGCACTCATTCAGAAGACTCTAAATTATGGGGCAAAAATCATTTTCGGACGCAAAAAGTATGATCACGTGTCGGACCTGCTTGAGAAGCTGCGTTGGCTCAGCGCGGAGAACCTTGTGGTGCATGTCACACTGTGCATGGTGCACAAACTGCTGCGCTTCGGTGAGCCCGAGGTGTTAGCCGCCGGTTTGTCAACCGTGGCTGCCGCTAGGAGCTCACTAGGAGCGCAAGCTAGGGTGACCCGACAGGACCACTCACTATATGTGCTCCGATCTAGAAACGAAGCAGGCAAGAGGCGCTTCATCAGCCGTGGTCCGGTTCTTTACAACCGCCTGTCACCCGATTTGCTCGGGCTCCCGGTGCCTGTTTTTAAGCACCGCCTCAGGCGGCTGCTGACGGATCCAACCTGACTGAGTTGAGCTAACCATCTGGTGTGTATGTGTGCTGGTATTGTCTGTATCTATGTTTCTTGTATTATCTTGACTATGATGTATGCGAGTGTGATTGTGATGCTTGTCTCTCTTTATCTTGACTTTGAAACCACCGTTTTAATTTTTGACGAGAGGATGTAATAGCCGCTTTTAGTGGATTTCCTTAATACACGTCTGAGTCTGAGTCTGAGTCTGAGTTATTCTGTTTTCATATTCATTATTCAGCGCCTTCAATATGAAAAAGGAATCTCAACATTTTATATATGACATGAACAATGACTATCCAAACTAAGACACTGTGAGTCTGCTTTCACGTGGGTATATCGGTCCGGAAATTCGTTATTTTTATGCTGGCATCATAGCAAGCAACCGAGCCCGGAAAAAAAAGATGCTTGCGAGTTGCGTTGGTAATGCATATAGCACATTGCACAAGTCTGCATGATGCAACTATGCATGAGACGATGCTGAGTCGAATTGTTTAAAGAAATCAACCCGACGTTGGAAACACCTGAAGTTTTGCGCGGTCAAAAAGTGGATTTAGATTTTAGGCCAATAATTAGCTGAATTTATTGTATAGGTACGGTATTCAAAGACATTGGACACTGGACAGCCTTCCCATCGTTTGGTGTTGGCCTGATCGACTTCATACATAAATGGCATGGCTTCACCACCCACCAGCCATTTCTAATGCCCGACCGTCCAATGTTTCAGAATAGAGCGTCTGTTTTCGCCGTGGTCCGGGGAGAATTGAATGCGACTGCCAGTCTCTGGCCAATTATAGCCAGATTGGCGCGTTTCTTTGCTAAGCCGATCTGCAGGCTAAACGAATTCCGAGCAGCCCGAGCATTTGACAGCGGTGGTTTATGGCTAAGTGACGCCGAAAGATTCTTCAGAATGGCGATTTCCAGAATTTGATTGGGATGAAGATGCCGATCGGTGCTGGAATTTATTCCCCAAACAAGTCCGAAAAGGGATGCGTCGGATGGCGATCGTTTTGGCGTCTCAAACATCTATACATTCTACAAGTGCAAGGTCAGCTGTCCTAATCGCAACCACGTGTTTACGTGTTTTGTAGAACTGACAATTCATAATACACTGACACGGATAGAGGCTTCCTTGTACCCCCAGTGCTACTATTGAACTATGCAAAATACGGGTTTGCTAATAAATATATTGAATGCAATTTAGGCACCTGCTGTCTCTCCTCTCCTCCTCCTCTCTCTCTCTCTCTCTCTCTCTCTCTCTCTCTCTCTCTCTCTCTCTCTCTCTCTCTCTCTCTCTCTCTCTCTCTCTCTATTTCCTCCTCCTCCTCCTCCTCCTCCTCCTCCTCCTGCTCCTCCTCCTCCTCCTCCTCCTCCTCCTCCTCCTCCTCCTCCTCCTCCTCCTCCTCCTCCTCCTCCTCCTCCTCCTCCTCCTCCTCCTCCTCCTCCCCTTCCCTCTTTCCCTCGACTGACCGACGTCCGTATGCCCTGCGGCGTTCGTAATCAATGACTGGCCGCGCCGCGCCATACGGTGCCTTCGAGTGGACACTCCCACAGCGAGGCATCCTCATTAGGGCCTCTCCACCTCCCTCCTCTCCCCTCCCCCCCGAGCGCCCCAGGGCAGACCGGCGCAGCCTCAGGCAGTGGAGAATTTGTCAGAGCAGACACTGGGGTGATAGCCTGAGGCTATACCACTGCAATATAAAAAAGGAACTATCGTCCGCGCACTCTGCGTGTATGTGTGTGGTGAGGTGGCGACTCTTGTGACGACATTACGTGTTTCGTCCGAGTCAACACCCGTACTAATGGGATGGTCGCTCGGGGGGAGGTGGTTGTGTGATGATGTTTGGCCATGCAGACAGGGCTGAGGACCACACGGTCAGTAGGGGAGAGTGGGGTAAGATGCCCAGGGTGGGAAAGACGCCCCACCCCCTCTAGCGGCGAAACAAAGAATCAAACCGGGAAATTGATGTTCTTAGCGTAAAGCGGAAGCCTGCCTTGTTAACTGCACAAAAATTTGCGAAGCTCAGTTGGGCAACGGCTGGCTGGTGATTGCATGTTTTTTATTTGCTGCTTTCAAAAAATATTTTGGTGTCAAAACATTGTAAATATCAAAGAAGGTAGATAATTTTGCGTCCCTTGCTATAGCCGTGATACATTAACATGCGTGTACTGTGTCCCAAACAGTTTGTTTCAGGGTGTAGTTTTATGGCTAACAAATTGTACTGATTTAATGTAACTTCGGTACCT